GATTCCTTCCGCGTGGTACTGACAGAAATCAGTATAAAAGTGTTAAAAACTTGCCTGAAAATTTAAACTTGGCGATCGATTTTTGAAGCAGATGTCGGTCAATAAAAGAAATGTATGAAATAAGGACAAATGAACGCGTTTAAAAGTTTAGAATTGATAATAAAGACTCCGTCTATTTACGTGAAACCTTTGAGACACTAAGAGGCCGTCTGACGGACTTGCTTTTTGTTAAATCAAACGTTGATTTCCATGATCATGTTCACAAATATCCATATTTGGATTTGCCTTGTCTTAAAAAGAAGCCAAGGCTCACTATATGAATGCTGGGGCGTAGTCATGCCACTTACAAAACATGATTCATAAACAGAGTAGATACCAGAAGTAATGATACTAAAACAGTGTAGGTTTATGATATTAAACAATTCAATTTTAAATCTGCGAACAAAAGCTTTTATCAATTATTGCTGTTCAGTAAATTTGACTGAACACAAGAAAGACAAAGAAAAGTGACATTTCTGTTCAGGGGATTACGGGTTCATTTGCGAAAGTGTCATTGATGAACAATAAGCTACATTAAAAATAGACATTTTAAGATATCGAATATTAATCAAGATAAACTGGACAAAACAAGAACAAATTAAGGAAACTCTACTGAAAATTTTGGATGAATTAAATAATTATTTTCTATGGAATATTGCGGTTAATACTGTCAAAAAAGACGACTAACATCAATTTCACCGGTAAGAACATTTTTTTTTGGCAAAACTGATACTTTTATCATCATTGCCGTTCTAATTTTATTCAACAATATAGCGTAAACCGAAATTCAAATTATCATTTTATTTACTTACCATTTGGGGTGAACTGCAAAATGTTTTATATTTATGTCGAATCATTTAATATTTCTGTCGAATCATTTACGTTTTTCTGGTTTGGTCGCTGATACATTAACCAGACTCCCGCTAATATTGTTACTGCATTGAAAATGCTAAGAGTTCCTATACATAACTCAGTAAATCGTCTGTGAATACTCGATGTTTCGGGAATCCCAAGGCGATTTCCCATTATAGAAACGCTTTCATTGATAAACGTCGAATTAGTTCTGGTTTTGTACTCACCAAATTTAGAAGCTTAAAATTACAGTAAATTTCCGCCTACGAGTGACGGTTTCAAATTTTACCCTAGAAAAAACTTCCACAGCTGGTGAAATTTTCTAGATATTTCAGTAATTGTTAGATTGAATTTACAAAACAATTTTCGAACTCATTATTTTTTCGGCTACACAATTGCAAAACATAGCTTTCCCACTAGAAGTTTGAAAATCTCAAGCCTAATTGGCGACTATACGCCAAAGCTAACTTTGTTGAAATGTTACCAAAATTTCGGTCTGTTATGCTTAAGCTTTCGAATTCAATGAAGAGCTCTTGAGTTTAGGGCACAATGTTTTGAAGAAAATACAGAGATATTTCTCTGTGCTAATTTAAAGCTCTCAAAATTGATTAGCTGTAGAAAAAATAGTAAGGCTTAATATCAAACCAGAGTGAAACATCGTATTACAAAGCTAACTCCGACAGTTAATTCAATAAGAAGAACAGTGTGACAAGAGAACATGTCCTCTTGCAGTATGGTTGTTTCAAGCGAACCTGGGATTTCCAGAGGATCGAGGAAAAGTTCCATGAAATGGAGACTTTTCACCATTTACTATATAGAACAGTGGTTAGGCGAAAAAGAAACCCCCAATCCAAATCTGATCTAAAGAATCGTTTCGATTTCCCTGCTTTGGAATAATCTCATCTTACATATATTAGTGGCATGAATATCTACTCGACTAGCTAGTGGCTAATCGGTATCCATTCAACGTTGAATTTTATTTACTAGATACATGTATGACCATGGACAGTAGAGGCTTACACGAGTAAGGCTAGATGATACACTTTGCAAACATCGAGGAGTAATCAGGGCAAGTAGCGAATCACCGCCGCCGTATCTAGTGCGAACGTGAGTTATAAAAGTAGTGTTTTAATAGGATAATAAACTCTGCGAACCAACAAAACCAACAGCATGGTTAAACGATCAGGCAAACGGTTATAATGGTGGACGTAAATGATAAATTCGAAATAGTGAATTTACAGAAAATTGATATCTACAACTACTGATTATTAACACGACCAATAAAATGATAACAAAAAATTGTGTTCAACACAGCGACACATAAAAGATCCGTAATCAAAAGCAATTGACATGTAGAGTAATGTAGCGATTTGATACCAAGCTTTTATTATTCAGTTTTACAGCTCGACAAGCTTGTTAATTATCGAGCTACAAAACCAAAATCGACGTTTTAAAAATTATATGTCTCTTACGTACAGAGGAAACTTAATGAATATGTTCCACAAGGGTTCTTTATACAGGGGAACCCAACGACGATTTCCTCCTATAAATACATTAAAACTAAACACTTTTTGGGCTATCCATGCAGAGTACTGCATTCTAAGCGGGGCTATGAAAATTTGTGTATCTGTTCGCTCAGCGTAGGGGAACTTAAGCCTTTTTGAAATTACGAGCCGACTTTTCTGGGCTTCAGTATTGTTTTCCCGATAATTTAAGAGGCAATTTAACGTATTACAAAAATGGGAATTTTTCTGATTCCTATCTCCATCATATTTTTCAATCCGAAAATTTTAGTTTTCCATTTTTATACGAAAAATAGCTTAACCTAGGAAGTGAAATGTGAAAAAGTAAGCTTCAGAAAACCGTAAGGAATTTATTAGATAAACTTCGAAAATTGTGCATGACTGAATGCAACGTTCACCTTGAGGTTTTTATCCGTCCACAAGTAATAGAAAATTCTAGGCCAGTACTTGCTTCTCCGAACAGATAGTTTACAGAAACAGTTGTTGGGTGCCCCTATTTACATAACACTCTTCATACAGAAAAAAGCCGAAGTTGTTTCTTAACTGACCATACAGTTGTTCAGAGACAACCAAAAACTGACAGAACAAATGACTTAAGGATTTTGAAAATACAGAAACTGTTTGTTTTCTGAGAGGACGTCTTTAGTGCGTCTGAAAAATAAAAAAAAGTGAAGCAAATTCTTGATCAAGATGCACGAAGCATGAACCGGTGCTGCACGCCACAAATGGTGAATGATCGAGCGACTGTTTAAGATCTGGTTACACAGACATAACTGTTACTAATTTACTTGGAATTAGAATTGACCAGAATGGGCAATCGCCACTACGACTGAAAATGAGGATAACAATTTACCACTCTTTCAATTCGAGGTCAGTTTAGGCAAATAATTTCTATAAGAGTGATATCATCTCGCGATATCTCACACTGCAACTTTTCTTTCAATTGTACAGTTATACCCTGGGTTATATATGAATAATCGCGCTGGATTAAAAAAACCAAGATCAACACCAATTTATTTCTAGTAAAAGTTGCGATCTCTTGGTTACAATGATGTTATAAGAAACAAATGTGTACAGTAGTTCCAAAATTATGCAAAGAAGCCTTTCATTGGGCGCATTGATTTCTTAGCAACCTAATATTTCCGTAAGCGAATGAAATTGTAAATTGTTTAATTGGAATTAGAATACATACGCAGGCTGTTTAGTGAGCATGTTTTGACGCCGAGAAACGTATTCAAACAAGAAAATTCTATGATTCAATCCTTAGCAGAGTGTTGGTATGTACAGTGCTCGAAGCTTTCTTGTTTTTCTCTAGCTTTATTTAAAGTATGCTTTTTGATTCCGTGTTTCTTATTTCACTTCTTTCTTCAAGTTCTCACAACTTTCATGAAGACAGATTACCAGATGAGGAATGAAAACATATGGCAAACAAGGTAAATCATATATACGCCACTCTTTCTCTTATCTCCTCTGGCCCAGAATAATTTGTGTTGTTTCTAAAACATATTCCAAGAACATAGATCAGAGTAGCAATCATATGACTCTCCAATATATAATGCACAGAACGCTTTAAGCGGGTAAAATGTTAATAAGCAGCATTTAACAATAATTTACCATTGTAAAAAAAGAAAGGATTTTTAGAGTCCAGTATAAAACTTGATTCATGTTAAGCCTCTTTATCAAACAATTCTGAATATAGGTCAGAATTATTGCAACATTGCTCATTTGGATATACTGTTGTGTTGATCATGGCCTCTGCGAAGAGAAATTTTCAACTTCGTATGTGGACAAATTCTGTGCTTTATTAATTCTGGATACAAAAATGAACAGCGGAAGAACTTGTAATAGCTTGTAACTGTAATTTCTTTTTCTCTTGTTCTTGTAACTGCTCATAATTGTACTTTGCTTGGGTTTACATTAATAATATAGTATAAAAAAAATCCATATTTCACCAACAACAGATGATGCTAAGACTCAGTCTTGCAAACTGTACTCAGAATAATTTTTTTCACTGCACAAAAAGGTGATGAGTTGACGGCCATCCTCCTAAAGCTACAGCAACAGATCAAAAGTTCGCACGGCGGTTAAAGAACAAAATTGAGCAATACTTAAGGATAGATCTTACACGAGATAAAATTTAATAACTGTAATTTATGATGTTGTCGCTGATAGATCCTCGGCTATGGAACAAAATCATGATCTGCACAGGAACTCAGTTGCCGAAAAAACACAAAACACGAATTTCCTCATGTTAAGCCACACAAACCAATCAACATGTTTGACGTCTTTTACGTGCAAATCGTAATAACTGGGCCATGATTTCGTTAAAACTTGTTTTAAAAACGTGAAAAGTTAAGTAATTATTGCAAAAGAGATAAATTAACCCCTCGCGATAATCATTGCTATCTTTTGGCATTGGCAATTGTGAAAGAAGGTAAGAGTGAACTTCAAAAGACGCTATAACAGTCCTCAAGACTCCATAACATTCAAGCCGTTCATTTTTCCAAGGCATATCTTAAGCATGAAATATTTCGTTAATCTTATTATTGTAATTTTAATTGAACTAACCAAAATATGTAAACGTTTAGTGCACAAGTTAGAAGACCTTGATGATGCGATCACGAGTTAAAATGACCACCATGTTGTTTGTACTGATTTTATCGCTCATGACCGCTTTCTGCTCCAGCAAGAACAACAAACAATCCAAGAGAGACACCAAGGTAACTACATTCATTCATCAGTGTCACAACACATTTTTTAACACAGTTGATGTTAAATTGTTGAGAAAACTAGGAATAACGTATCGTGTGTTAATTTTACTAAATCCGTCTTGCCGATTATATTAAGAAATGCTCAAAAGGCTTTCAATAATTAAGATGGTATGGTTACTTGAATGAGCAACCGATCTCTTTTCATAGAGAAAGAGAATTTTCACGTTTAAAACAATCAAAAGTAACATTATTACTAACGTGGTAAATACTATGATACATTTTGTTTTCTGAAAGATGAATTTCTTTAATCACAATTTACGCGTTCATCTAAGAAACCCAAATTAAAACTTACAAATTAAGGAAATCAGTAAGCATGCACTTCCCCACCTGGATTAAAACGCAAGATGACAGACAAAATTGCCCAAAGTTAATTGCATTTTGTCATTAAATTTCTCCTTTTTTGCAGCCTATTCAATCTTCTCCATCTTGTAATAATGACGGACAAACCGGGATGTGGACATACATGACGTGTGTCCCAGGAGCCCCTGGGGCACATGGTCGAGATGGAGCCAAAGGAGACCTGGGTAGCCCGGGGAAAACTGGGTCCAAAGGACCACGTGGTGCTGACGGAAAGAAAGGAGCAAAGGGAGAGCCTGGGATCCAGGGTTCAAGCGGACAAAAAGGAGAGCGAGGGGACAAAGGCGACAGTGGATCGCCACTACTGGCTTCACACATGAACTGGAAGGAGTGTGCTTGGAAAAAAGGAGACAGCAAAGATTCAGGATTGATATATGTGAGTGAGCACTGTAACGTAATCTACGACTAGGGATACCTTCCGGCAAGTGCCAACGAGGCGAATTCGTTTTTCTTTTGTGGAATGTGCCTAATAGTTCTTCATGACATAATTATAGAGATTTATATTTGATTTCTCTGAAAAGATAAGATGTAGTACGTATAGGGGAAGGTAAAGGTACCGAAAAGGATGAACAATAAATTAAACCTATATTTGGAGTTCTATAATACGCAGACTCCTTTGACAGGCGGTAAAGTTTGGGGTCTTTGGTTCTCATTGAAAGAGTTGCATGGACGTTGACGTTCTGGGTTGGCACCATTTCTTTCTGTATAGTCGATACATAGGAGAATGGCATACAGCGCGATTTGTATATTGTGAAACATTGGACTGCTGGTTGAAAAGACAGTAGTTCTCAAAGGAATAAATGCATTAGTGATTTTTTAATTTCCTTCAAAACATGAGCAGTGGTCTACGTTTTGTAAAGACTCTTAAAATTTATTGCACTTCCGTGTAGTGGAAAAATTATGTAAATCAGGTCGGAGGAGTGACCTTTAACGTCCATTTTGCCCGAAAAAAAACTTAAAACTGTGAAAATCTGCTAAAGGAAAAAAAACTTAAGTAAGAAATGACACAATTCTAAAATCAAAGATACTACTACCAAACATGTCACTTACAAGTTAGGGTCTGTTTACACGGAGGTGGGGGCACCAGGTGGGTGATGTAACCCGCTTAGGTGGGGTAACCCGCCTGTCTATATAATCTCTCATTTTAATTTGATCACGTTTACATGATAGGTGGGGTGACCCTACACATGTTACCTCACATATCTGTGGTCCTCCACCTCGATGTAAACAGGCCTTTAGTTAACGACAGCGACGTCTGTGCCCAGGCCTTCAAAAATATTTATTGAAAGTACACGTAAATTTTGTACTAGTGCCCACTCCCCTTATCAAACTGCTTTTTTGTCCCTTTTTCAAAGATTAACTCAAAAGGCCCTTCCACAAAAATGTTCTACAAATCCACTAGTATTAACACTGTGAAGATAACTGTAACTTCCAAAGAGTACATATATTAAATTGAATATTAGCTAAAAATAGTCTTAATAGCGATACTCGCGCTGACGTCATCAACTGATATTAATAGGCCAAACAGAAGCGCATTTGCTCTTGTAAAAAAATCATTCTTCTGTTTCACTCGTTTATCATTTGAATAACAAAAACAATGGTTGTAAACAGTAATGTCTCCTATGGGTCACGTGACAATGAAGTACTCCAATCAACACAATAGTTATTGAACTTATACCTAGGAACTCTGTCCGAGACGGGAGAATTACACAATAGCTAGCATTTCTGCATACTATATTTCAAATGCATTGTTAGTTACTGCAGCTGTTCACTTGAAAATGAAACTAGGAGACAATACCCCTGAATAATGATGAGACGCTCTCATGCTCACTTGCAAACACGAAATTTCCTACAAAAAATAGCGAATTGTAGCCCCTATTTTACTGCGTTACAAGTTATCAATAATCTTGAAGCTCAAAGGTCATATAGAATAATGGTACGTTAATCTCGAATCTCAAATATAAAAAAAAATTCAACGCGCGGTTTCAAAATCATTCACTTCTTTCTTAAAGTACACCGAATGTTTACGAAACCGCTAATAAGAGCACATCGATACATACTAATCAAATCCTTCTTTTTTTTTGCATTTAAAAAACACTTGATTTTCTATAGATAAAGACCGAATATCAAGATTGTGCAGTTTTTACCGTATTTAACTAGAAAAACATCATCCCAAAATACCTCCATGACGCTCTTATAAATTTCATGAACATCGAGTCGGCTATGTGGAGGAAAAAGCTCCAATGAACGATTTTGGAAGAAGATTTCCTAGTGGCCGGTTCAGTGTAAATAGTTCTGCGAAGAATACGGTGTTTACTGATGAAACTTTGTGGGTTTAATCCTATTCCTTGATCAGCGGCCGCTTAAAATTCATTTACAAAGGAAAAGAGAACGCTGAAAACCCTGGTCTCAACAAACGCAATAGAGAGGAGGAGTGTGACGTCGTGTTACCAGGGTAACAACATTTCTGGACCACAACAACAGGGATTTTAAGCAACGATGACGGCGGCGACGGCAACGAGAAGGGGAAAAAAGCAGTAGGTTTATATCGGCAAAACAACAACTATGAAATCAACGTGGATTACGCCGCTTTTTTCGTAGCCGTCGAAGCACGACTGCGACATGAAACTAAGGACCTGTTTACGTGAAGGTGGGGGGGCCCCAGGGAGGTGAGGCAACCCCCAGCCGGTCACCCCACCTATCATGTAATCGTGATCAAATGAAAATGAGAGATTATATGGACAGGCGGGTTACCTCCCCAAAGCGGGTTACCTTACCTATCTGTGGTCCCCCATCTCTATGTAAAGAGGCCTTTATTTTCACACGCCCCCGCTTTATGGAGTAGGTAAACACAACACAAAAATTTTCTTTTTCTTTTTCTCAACTTAAGTAAGTCCTTTCGGGATAAACTCCAGAAAATTTCGCCAAAATTTGACAAATTAAATAGAATCCGAAACCCATAAGGGGATGAAACCTGTAAGTCTCATATGTTTGCTTTGTCCGAGGCTCGTGATTATCCATTTTCGAAATTACCATATTTAGAAGGAGAATAAGAAATAACTGGCCTATCAAAATTCGTAAACGACGTGACGTAATTATACTTCCCCGATCATGTCCCGCGCCTGCTTAAAAAATGGCTGACAAAAGGGGGGAAAAAACTCCCGAGAGCCGAGTAAGCTCTTAAAGGTTGAAAGTTAATTCCTTAAAGCAATTCGCGTAACACTATCTGGATCGTGGATCCGTTCGCGCAAGTAAAATCGGCTGAGCGCGCACATGGCACAATTCAACACAAAATCCATCTCAAATCGGGGCGCATTTAATTTTTGTATAAAACGCGCGTCTCTGAAACATTAATAAATACATAAATTCCCTTTCATAAACGCAATTTTCTTGGCCGTAGAGTGCAAAATGTACCTGAAAATTCAGCAAAAACTCGAAAGACGATTTATTGATGAAAAGCTTCCCTTCCTTCCCAAAAAGAAAACTCTTTTGAACGTTCTCGTTCCATTTTTTGTCCTTTAACGGTGTATTTTTAACCCTGAAATGAAGAACTCTGTTCTTAAAACCACCGCATGGTGATCTCGCGGCAGCCATTTTATTGAAAATGGATACTGCCTTCATTAAAGTTTTCAAAAATGGTAAAAGTGAATATTCACGAGCATTCAATGCGAGTTACACGTTTCAATCCCTTGTGAGTTTCTGATGGAGTTGAATAAGATCGATGAAGTTTGAAACAGTGCAAATTCAGTTTTTAAGTGACGTTTTTGGTTTGTACATGCAGAGATTTTGTTACCATGGCAACGTGACACAACGACTTCTCCTCTCTATCCATAGCCCACAATGAACAGTTACACACTGGATCGCCGGGCCTCGAACCACAAGGAGCAGGGCGGATAAATCTTGGGCGGTGAAACGAGCGCTCCGCTTCTCATTCAATGTGTGATGCGGAGTAGGACTGGCACGAGCGCTCTTTCCGCGCTTCCGGTGCGCTTGAAGGCCGGCGAAATTTTCCTTTTTGCAAACCGGAAATCCTATTTTCTTTCTGTAATTTCAGGCTACAATGTTAAATAGATAAATTCGTTTCATAACAATATCAATAAACAGTTTCATATGTTTGTATCTGTGCGTCTAAAAGTCAAACTTGTTGGTCGTATAATGCCAAAATTTGAGTTTAAAAAAAAGTGTTGAATACGTTCCCCTTCCACTAAATATCACCTGATCGTCTTTCGCTGTTTCGTTTGCAAAAGCTTAACACTTCTTAACCTCAGTTTTTACATATGTTAAAGGGGGATAAATTTTATATAACATAACAAAAAATTAGATTGATATATATTGCTATAGTGGCGTTGTACTTCTTCAAACTTTGCTTCTCGGGTGCAACGTGCCATGGCGATCCGCGCAGTGCGTTGCAAATCCGGCAACCGAATGATTACAAACAAAATTTATTGAGGTTAGTTGTAAGGTTTTTTCTCCGTTTTTCTCTCTAATACGAAACAAGGTAAACAATAAAAACTGAGGGGAAACTAATTTTGAAGTTTCGAAGAAACAGAAAGACGTATGAGATGTTTTTTTTTTTGCAAAATTAAAAAGAAGGATGATGGTGATTGAAATTAGCATAATTCCACCTTGCACGAGCTGCACGCATTTATAAAATACACGTCATCTAGTTATGAAACACGTCCCACTTCCTTAAGTGATATGATGATTTTGTTTCTTTTACTCCTTTGAGAACTGCGACTTTGTGAAGAAATACTCGGACACTGCCCTCCATGTCTACTATGCAGGTAACTTCGGGATAAGGGGATGTGACAACTGCGCCAGTCGCTGGTATTTGACCTTCAATGGCGCTGAGTGCAGCTCTCCTGGATCTGTTGAGGGTGCAGTTTACATGTACAGGCGGTACAGAAATCGAAGTCTCCACCGTCACCGCCACATTGAAGGTCATTGTAACAACATCCAGAGAGGAAAGGTGCGAGTGGGATTCTGGGTTGGAAAGTGTAACGGAGAAAAGCTTGCTGATGCCCACACTGGGTGGCAGACAGTGAGTCGTATATTCATTGAAGAAGTACCAAAAGCTCAGCAGTAGACCTCTGTCTTGAGATCACATAGACTTAAATTTTAAAACGGTGTTCAAAATAGTGTGTGTCAACGCTTGCCTTTACTTTTTTTCTGGGTGATAGTGCGCGGAATAGCAATGGTTTTATATCTATCCTTTATAAGCTAAGAATAAAGTTCAGCAGCATGAGATCTCAGATACTCTTCTATCTCTTTGTAATATATAGATTTAGCCAGGGCTAAAAGCGAGGCTCCCATTAATAATTTACAATTTAAATTAAACAATAAACTTGTATTCGAATTCCACAATTCAGTTAACTTTAGAGCACATTTATGTGACTTTTGAGGGAAAGGCTACCTGATTTTAAAGAAAAATAATTTGCAAACAGCCCAAGAGTGAACCAAATATTACATCGAGTTGATAGCCTCATATGTACACCCAAAAACTGGTAATCATCTTCGATTACATTTAAGAGCCATAATGGCTCTTGATCTCCGTAGATTAATTGGTGGGAAAAAAAAATCAGGCCAACTTTTTTGCGTTCGACAAGTTTACTTTGAAAAATCTTGTCAACAAATCTGGGTGCGTGTAAACCAACCTTTTATACCATTTATACATCACATCTGAGGTGAAACAGTAGTATGAGGCACGGTTTTTATCATACCGGCAGACCTCGGACAGAAAGCAGTATTTCACAATACAATTGCACTCATTCAATATTCATAAACTGTTAAAATAATTTCCATCCGGTTCTCACTTTTGTAGTGCGAGCTGTGGCGAGTGTTTGAATGAACATTAACAGAGTTACGCTCCAACATTATAAAGAATTTATTCTGTTTATTTTTTGTTCAATGGTTTATTAACGCGCGGAATTTTGAGTACTCCTGCAAGCGATGTTCACTGAACGACTGAAAACAATCGGCACAGCGATTAAAATTACAAGAGAGACTACTAATGCATCAGTCAATTCCACCTGCGCCCAGCCCCCGGGCTGACCCCCGGGAATTAGCATTTTTTTTGCCTTGGATGGCAAATTCCCGGGGGTGGGGACTCTTGAGCTGTCAAATCCCCCGGGGTGGGGACGAAAAAAGAGGGTAAATGTCCCGACTCCTCCGTCAACACTGCAACATTTTTTATTGATCGCACAGTCAAATAGTGCCGTTTTAAGCATTTTAATGTGCGATTTTTTGGTTTAATTAACGTTTTTTTTGTAATAGCGCGAGGATGCGCCGCGACGACATGCACCAGTTTATGGTTTTAGTATTGGTATAAAATTATTGACATTAGAATTGAAAGAGTGCTGTAAAGTTATATGTTATGAATAGTTTTATAAATATGAAAGGATGTTCTTCAAATAATATCAATAGAAAATTGATTCAATAACTAAAAAACGTTGATTCACATCGATAGCTCCAATTTCGCTACGTAATTCTGGCTTGATAAGCAATGAAAAAATGCATACATACATGCCAAACCGAGAACATGCCTTTACAACCCTCTACAATTTGTTCCTGTCCTTGACAAATGAGCCAATCTGCTTTTTTTCCAGTAAAACCTTCTGTGTAGTTATATTCTGATAGGAAACCGCGTGCGTGTCAAAAGCTCGGGATTGGCCCGGGGGTTGGCAAATGCTCGGCCCCCGGGCAGTGCAACATTTGCAAATTCCCCACCCCCGGGACTGACAAGGTGGGCAAATGCCCCGCAGTTGCCCGGGGGGGGGCTGGGGGCAGGTGGAATTGACTGATGCATAACAATCAATGAAAGAAATATAATTCGGTGAAACATATACAGAAACAACAATTTTCATTCAGGAAGACAAGTATTAAAGTATCCCTAAAAATCCTGAGTCTTCAAGCTTCAAGCTTAAGTTTGTGTTTTAAGCCGGCTTCCCGGTGTTTGCTTTTTTCAAAGACGAACTCGAGGCAAGAAAATCGCTCAAAGCTTTCTTTTCCGGCCAGAATTATAACTAAATATTCTTGGGAACGTTTTCCTTCTATCTGCGGTGAGAAACTGTCTAAAGGCATTTTAAAGTTCTGTTAAAGCTTATATCAAACCTGATACTCGGTCAGATCATTATCTCAAATCTTACAAACGTGCAGAAACTAAATGACCGCATAAACTCCGCTCGACTTCATTAAATTAGATCCAAAAAAACAAACATCAAATACAAGAATTTCTCTGGCTTACCATTCGAGATGCAGCTCCTGAAAGGCATCAAGAAAAGCCAGTATCGCTTCAGACTTTGCAATCCTCTTACGCATCAAGCAAGGTGAAAACGAAAACGATGCCATCCGAAATCGGATTTCCGACTTTGACAAGCGACGTATTCCTCAACCAAAAACCCAATAAACAAACTAGCCATGAATAACAGAGGACTCCTGATAGCAGCTGAATGTCATTTTGCACATCCAGTGGAAAAAGACAGTTAAAAACATCACAAGTTGACACAAAACTCTGTCAGCTTCAGCTGTCAAAGTAAACAAGATTCAAGATGCTGCATAAATTTTCCGCATGAACTCACCTGTCAAATTTTGACCAATCAGAGCATAAAAATTGGACGTAGAGCGTGACCAACGCGTGACCATGGTGAGTAAAGTCAAAAGCAACTGTCTTCCCTGCCTGTAACAGCTGGCTGAATTTTCGCGTCCGAGGTCAGTTTGCAATCAAAATTTTAATTGTGTAGCACATAAACACAATATATTTCATATGAATTTAGAAAAAACTTGAACTTGAGCCTGCGATCACTTGAAAACTGGTAACTTGTCAGCGGATAACTTAAAAAAATACTTGACCTCGATGGGTCGACACCTGAGCCCGCGATATGGTCAAGTGATACTGGTCAGCGGGTACCCTGTTTTGACAGCTGTCAATTGATCAAAACATTGATGTCCAATATGTCTGCATTATCAGTTTTACTAGTAAAAGTATGAGATCGAACATTGATCTAGTAAAACAATTAACTGGTCAGCAGACAGCTTCCAAATAAATCACGTCACCTCGAGGAGTTGACACATGAGACCGCGATATGGTCATGGGATACTGGTCAGTGGCTATCCTGTTTTGACAGCTGTCAATTGACCATATTGTGAATGTCCTAAAATCCCCCTCTAAAATCCTATATTAAAGATGTGGACTTGCCAAGACACGCCTGAGACACCCCTCCCTTCCTTTTGATAGTCTCCCCTACCCCACCCGTACAATCTGTAGACGCGTACGTACGTACGTACGCTCGGTCAATCACGTGACAACCAAACGAAAAGAGGTTGACCATATTCCATGAGTATGGGGCTCTGTCCCACGCGCGCTTCGCGCGCGGGGGAGCCCCGCTATCAAAATATCTTCAATACAAGCTAAAGAGAATGGGCCAGCCCATAATCTCTTGATACAAGATACCCTTCTCTAATATTTTGAATCATCCTAAATTTTTTTCTATTTATTTCCCTCTTGATTGATCAATATCAAAAAAGTTCATTTCCAGAGGACTTTCTTTCAGCTTCTAGTCAATGGCTAGATAATAGCGACCTTTAGATTCTAGGACGAGAACGACTAAGAGTAAGAGATTTAACTTACAGTTTCTTTTTTCGCGTATTCTCAAATAATAGACACCCCGGATAGCTTCATTGTACATCTTAACACCAAAAAAATTCGCACTCTTATCTTGATTGAAGGAAGTTAAGCCATCTCCCAGCCGAAAAAGAAAAGAAAATAAAACCTGTGACACTTCATAACTTGTGTCCACTAACACGACATTCTCGCCAAAACTCGTTGCAGAATGACGATGGCTATCATATTTTCCCGCCACACTGACGCTGGTTTACGCGCGCTTATAACTACTTAGTATTGAGAAAATCTCGTACTCATAGTCGTACTCGTCTTAGAATCTAAAGGTCTCTAATAAACTTAAATGACTCGATCTGATCAACCAATCGAGTGGGTCATTTCCATCCTACGCGATATCTGTCGCATTTGCCCAATGGAATTTTTTATTGCGTGCCGCTAAAAAAAATAATAACGCAGCGAAATATTTGTGTCTTTGAAGCAAAATAATTCGGAAGGCTTCATTGGCGCACCATAAATTTTTTTAGCTTTAAAAAGAGACCAAATATAAGTCTGTATGTTGAGTATTCGCGGACTTTAATATGATTTTTCGAGAATTTTAGTAAGACCACTAAATGTTACGCAAAATGACTTGTGCGAATGACTTGGACTAAAATCAATATCTCGAAAAATTTGCTGCATCAAGTCGGGATTTAAAATTCTTAATGCCGTAGAACATTTTAGTTCACTATTTTCAAAAGACCAATTAACGCAAAGAGCACACATACACCAAACCCATGATCCGCCTTCCTGCGCATGTCGTGGGAGAACTGCGGGTGCGGTTCCCAGCCAACAGCTCCCACATGTGTTGTGTGGAGCTGGCACTTCTCGCCTCGGCAGGAAAGGGTCGTTTGTACATGTGTTTTCCCCGGTCACTGACCGACGACTATGCCATGCTGATGAACCCCAGTAAGGGCGAAACAGCTGTCCATGGCTGCCACTGCCTGCGTGATATGGCTGTGCGCATGCGTGAGGTGATCGCCTGGCCGTGGGCTGGTGTATGTGTGCCCCTTGCTTTAAGTTTGTACTGTTTTCAATGCTATCGAATTAAGTTCAATCTATTTTTCATCAATTACTGTATTTCATGATATTTCCAAACAAATTTAACAGCGCGCGCGTTTTGGTAAAATCTTTGCTCGTTGGCACTTAGCGATAGCTATAACTGGTATAGATCTTAAAGATTTGCCATGTGAAGTTTCAAGGTCTAACTCAGAACATTTCTCTTTGATGCACGTCGCCGGAATAGCTTTGTAATGTTAGCGAGCAAAATAACGCACGATTGTCAAATCATCAACTCAGATATTTGCCGATAGAATTCCTAAATTAATTTTAATGTGAACGATTCTTTTTTGAAACTTTTGGAAGCTACTGGAAGTCAGAACTGCCGAATTTGTAAAGTCAGAATTAGCATCAGCGCCCTAGTTGTCAATACAGTCTTTCTTTCAAAAAGCCCGTTACCCGATTAAAAGAAGATTT